GAAGAAGAAGAAGAAGAAGAAGAAGAAGAAGAAGAAGAAGAAGAAGAAGAAGTTCCTGCTGAACTGTGAAGATGAAACTTGACCTCAAAGACCTCAGGTTGAAACCTGTGTCCCTCCCCTCTCCCAGCGTGACCTCTATCAAGAGGTCACTGGGAGGGACTCAGCCCCTTTCACACTCCATTCAGCTGCCAATGGCATGCTATTCCACTTGACACCTATGTGTAGCTTTGAAACCTGCCCTCCTGGTTCTCTCCACTTCGCCATGTAAGGCTGCTAAACAGGAGCTTTATTATAACTTAATTTCACTTTTTAAAATATATTTTATTATGAAAGATGTCAATGCAGAAGGAACATCAGTTAGGAAAAGTTCTGATCACTCAGTTGCAGAACTAAACTAGAATGTTTACGTCCTCTAACTGTGGCTCCCTGTCCTGTTTAGAGAGAACTTGACTTCCTAGCACTGGTGGTAGTTTTAGCCAAACATTAGTTTAGCTTTGGATGTTTTTAAACTAAGGGTAATCAATCAGCATTCCTTATCAAAAGACCAACAGAAGCCAGAGGGTGCAGAAGATGGGTATGAGCCTTCTCTTTTCCGGAGGAACAGGCAGCAACTCTGACGCAGAGCTCTGGGCGTTTGGCACCCAGGTGTCAACAGGCTCGCGCTGTCTGTCTCTCTCTCTCTCTCTCTCTCTCTCTCTCTCTCTCTCTCTCTCTCTCCAGCACAAGCATGGGGACTGGTGCAGAGTGCAGGGAGGTGCACATAATGGGCACGGTTAGGAGTTACCTTCTGCCCAAACACAACAACCCTGAACCTGACCTGGAGGAAACCAAGGCAGTTGTGATGGACACAGCAGCAAATGCCCTTTTCAAGTAACATCTTCCTTCTCCCAGGGAGAAGGGCTTCACTTACACAGCACTCAAAAGCAAAAGAATCAGGGTAAGCCAAGACAGCTATGGAAGGATGCCATGGGCACCTGACCATGCCAGCTTTCCTGATAAAAGGACAGTGTGGGGACATCCTTGCCATGGGAAAGGCACTGTTGAAGGACCCCTGGAAAGGACTCCTATACAAAGATACAAAGTACTATGGCATTTCACATAATGGATTACAACCACAAACTGCCTCTTAAACTATAAACATCAGCCCTATTTTCCACCCAAAGGTCACAATGAACATTCTGAACAAGACCTTTATTCACACACCCTGTAGCAAACCCCAAACGTGTGGCAGGGGGCAGCTGAAGCCCCAGGTCCTATGGCAGAGCTATTCCTCAAGAGCATGGGAGCCCCTGCAACCTCAGAAACACTTCCAGGTCCCATATCTCTGTGGACCTGTGATGAGCCTTCCTGATCCTCAGACTTCCACCGCAAAACTCGATTCTGAAGATGCTGCACCTCTTTCAAAGTGACCCAAAGCACTTTTCACGACACAGGAGAGGACACAGCAGCAGCGGCGGCGGCGGCATGTTTTCTAATTCTCTACTACTGCCACCGCGGCGGGCGGCGCTGCTACTACCGCTGCACATGTCACTGTGTAACACAGGAGGAGCGCTCAGGGCTCGCTTCGCTCCAGCCCAGGGTTCAGTGGGAACACTCCTGCAGAGGACTCCCAAACAAAAGCAGTCTGCAAGCTGGGCAGGCAGCCACTCATCGAACCCATGGGGCCCTGAGGAATCGGAGGCCAACAGAGCCAGAGTGTATGGAACCTGCAAACGCTGAGGCAGTTTCTGTGCCTGAGCACCCACATCACCATGATCGCCAGCATCTGCAGACCCCTGCGCATTGAGCGTCCTGCTGACCTCCAGGGATGGCAACAACAAAAGCACCCAGAGCCGGGTTATAGCCACTACACCACTCTCTGCTCCTAGCATGGAGTCCCCAGCCACCCTCCCTGGCAGCCAGGGAAGCCCGAGCCTTCCACCCAGACTTCATCCGCGCCTGCCGGGGAGGAGTTCGCCCTCTCTTGACCTCACCTGAGGGAGGAGAGGGAGGGGTCCCTCTGGCACACGGTGGTAGCCCATGGCACCCCCGAGGAAACGGGGAAGCAGAGTTCCCCGAGGGCTTTGGGCACTCCAGCACTGGGAAGCCCTCAAGACTGGCAGGTCACCTGGGCAGAGGCCGCCCCTCGGCCTCGCAAGCCAGCCGGCTAGGGCACAGGCCCCAGGACGCAGCCCAGAACTTCCTGGAACGACTGGGCCGCCCGATGCACCCGCCCTCGCCTCCCGCCGCGCGCTGCCACTCACCTGGGGGCAGCTGGAAGTTCTGGATGTTGGTCGGGTTCTGCGGCGGCTGCGGCAGGCGCGGGGCCAGTACGGTGGGCGTCAGCGTGGCCCGGATAGCGCCGGTGGTGGCCGCCGGCGTCCGAGGCAGACTGGGGGTCGCCGCGGCCGCGCCCTTTGCCA